CAAAAGTGGTACTAAGAGGAAAGTTTATACCAATACAGGCCTACCTCAAAAAACAACAAAAATCTCAAACAATCCAACAATATACATAAAGGAACTAGGAAAAGAAGAACAAACAGCCCAAAATCAGCAGAAGGAAGGAAATAATAAAAATCAGAGCAGAAATAAATGAAAGAGACAAAAAAAAAACAAAACAGAAAAAAAACACACAAAGAAATCAAAAACTGGTTCTTTGAAAAGATAAACAAAATTGACAAACTTTTAGCTAGACTCACCAAGAAAAAAGAGAGAAAGTTCAAATAAAATCAGAAACAAAAAAGGAGAAATTACAACAGACATCACAGAAATACAAAGGATTATAAGAGAAACTATGAAAAGCTATATGCCAAAAAACTGGATAATCTAGAAGAAATGGATAAATTCTTAGAATCATACAACCTTCCAGAACTCAATCAAGAAGAAACAGAGAATCTGAACAGACTGATCACTAGACAGGTCAAAACAGTAATCAAAAACCTCCCAAAAAACAAAAGTCCAGGACCAGACAGCCTCCCCAGTGAATTCTACCAAACATTCAAAGAAGACTTAATACCTATCCTCAAACTCTTCCAAAAAAATTGAAGAGGAGGGGAAGGTTCCTAACTCACTCTACAAGGCCAACATTATCCTGATACCAAAATGAGACAAGGACAACACAAAAAAAGAAAATTTCAGGCCATTATCACTGATAAACGTAGATGCAAAACTCCTCAACAAAATACTAGCAAATCAAATACAACAATACATTAAAAAGATCATACACCATGATTAAGTGGGATTTATTCCAGGGATGGTTCAACATCTGCAAATCAATGTGATACTCTACATTAACAAAATGAAGAATAAAAATGACATGATCGGGGCCGGCCCCATGGCTTAGTGGTTAAGTGTGCGCACTCCGCTACTGGCGGCCTGGGTTCAGATCCCGGGTGTGCACCGACGCACCGCTTCTCCAGCCATGCTGAGGCCATGTCCCACATACAGCAACTAGAAGGATGTGCAACTGTGACATACAACTATCTACTGGGGCTTTGGGGGAAAAAAAAAAGGAGGAGGATTTGCAATAGATGTTAGCTCAGAGCCGGTCTTCCTCAGGAAAAAAAGAGGAGGATTAGCATGGATGTTAGCTCAGGGCTGATCTTCCTCACACACAAAAAAAATGATATGATCATCTCAATAGATGTAGAGAAAGCATTTGACAAGATACAGCATCCTTTTATGTTAAAAACTCTGAATAAAATGAGTATGGAAGGAAAAGTACTTCGACATAATAAAGGCCATGTATGATAAGCCCATAGCTAACATCATACTCAATGGTGAAAAACTGAAAGCTATTCCTCTAAGAAGAGGAACAAGACAAGGATGCCTACTTTTGCCACTCTTACTTAACATAGTATTGGAAGTCCTAGCCAAAGCAATCAGGCAAGAAAAAGAAATAAAAGGGATCCAAATTGAAGGCCGGCCTGGTGGGGTAGCAGTTAAGTTCACAGGCTCTGCTTCGGCAGCCTGGGGTTCGCTGGTTTGGATCCTGGGCACGGACCTATGCACCACTCATCAAGCCATGCTGAGGCGGTGTACCACATAGAGCAACGAGAAGGATGTAAAACTATGACATACAACAACTATCTACTGGGGCTCTGGGTAGGAAAAAGGAAAAAAAAAAAAGAGGAGGAAGATTGGCAACAGATATTAGCTCACAGCCAATCTTCCTCAAAAATAAAAAAGAAAAGGGATCCAAATTGAAAGGAGGAAGTAAAACTGTCACTATTTGCAAATGACATGATTTTATACATAGAAAACCATAAAGAATCCACCAAAAAACTAATTGAAATAATAAACAGAGTAAAGTTTAGGGTACAAAATCAACAAACAAATATCAGTTGTGTTTCTAGATACTAATAACAAAATAGCAAAAAGAGAAACTAAGAATAGAATCCTATTTACCATCGCAACAAAAAGAATAAAATACCTAGGAATAAATGTAATCAAAGAGGTGAAAGATCTGTACATTGAAGACTATAAAATATTGTTGAAAGAAATCAAAGACGATACAAAGAAATGGAAAGATATTCCATGCTCATAGTTTGGAAGAATAAACATAGTTAAAATGTCCACACTTCCTGAAGCAATCTACAGATTCAATGCAATCCCTATCAAAGTCCCAACAACATCTTTCACGGAAATAGAACAAAGAATCCTAAAATTTATATGGAACAACAAAACACCCCAAGCAGCCAAAGGAATCCTAAGGAAAAAAAAACAAAGCTGGAGGTATCACACTCTCTGATCTCAAAATATACTACAAAGCTACAGTAATGAAAACAGCATGGTACTGGCACAAAAACAGACACACAGATCAATGAAACAGAACTGAGACCCCAGGAATAAACCCACACATCTTTGGTCAGCTAATTTTTGACAAATGAGGCAAGAACGTACAACGGAGAAAGGAAAGTCTCTTCAATAAATGGTGCTGGGAAAACTGGACAGTCACATGCAAAAGAATGAGAGTAGACCATTATCTTTCGCCATACACAAAAAATAACTCAGACTGAATTAAAGACTTAAATGTAAGACCTGAAACCATAAAACTCTTACAAGAAAACATAGGCAGTACACTCTTCAACATCGATCTTAGCAGTATCTTTTTGAAACCATGGCTCCCCAGGCAAGGGAAACAAAAGAAAAAATAAACAAATGGGACTACATGAAATTAAAAAGCTTCTCAATGGCAAAGGAAACCATCAACAAAATGAAAAGACAACCTAACAATTGGGAGAAGATATCTGGAAACCATATATCTGATAAGGGGTTAATATACAAAATATATAAAGAACTCATACATCTCAACAACAAAAAATCAGACAACCTTAATTAAAAAATGGGCAAAGGAGGGGCCAGCCCAGTGGCGTAGCAGTTAAGTGCATGCACTCCGCTGCTGGCAGCCCGGGTTCGGGTCCCGGGCGCACACCAGCGCACTGCTTGTCAAGCAATGCTGTGACGGCATCCCATATAAAGTAGAGGAAGATAGGCGTGGATGTTAGTCCAGGGCCAGTCTTCCTCAGCAAAAAAAGAGGAGGATTGGCAGATGTTAGCTCAGGGCTGATCTTACACACACACACACACACACAATGGGCAAAGGATCTGAGCAGACATTTTTCCAAAGAAGATATACAGATGTCCAATAGGCACATGAAAAGATGTTCAACATCACTAATTATTAGGGAAATGCAAATCAAAACTACAATGAGGTGTCACCTCACGCCAATCAGAATGGCTATAATTAACAAGACAAGAAATACCAAGTGTTGGAGAGGATGTGGAGAGAAGGGAACTCTCATACCCTGCTGGTGGGAGTGCAAACTGGTACAGCCACCATAGAAAACAGGATGGAGATTCCTCACAAAATTAAGATCAGAATTACCTTATGATCCAGCTATTCCACTGCTGGGTATTTATCCAAAGAACACGAAAACATGAATGTGTAAAGATAGTTGCACCCCAATGTTCACTGCAGCATTATTCACAATAGCCAAGACTTGTAATCAATCTAAGTGTCCATTAATGGATGAATGAATAAAGAAGATGTGGTACATATATATACAGTGGAATACTACTCAACCATAAAAAAAAGATGAAATCTTGCCATGTGCGACAACATGGATGGACCTTGAAGGTATTATGCTATATGAAATAAGCCAGACAGAGAAAGCCAAATACCATATGATTTCACTCATATGAGGAAGATAAAAACTACAACAACAAACAAACACACACATATATAGAGATTAGATTGGTGGTTACTAGAGGGGAAGGGGTGAGGGCAAAAGGCATAAAAGGGCACATGTGTATGGAAATGGATGATAATTAGTCTCTGGGTGGTGACCATGATTTCTGTCTACTATAAATCGAACTATAATGATGTACACCTGAAATGTTATAAACCAATGTTACCTCAAAAAAAAATAAAAAATAAAAGAAATAAATTAATATAGAAATGTTTTAGAGAGTCAAATCCTTAGTATTAATGTGTATGATGTTTTTGCTTATTTAGTTTACATATTTGTAACATATAAGACAATTTTTCCTATTAGGGCAAAAGATCACCTTATAATTCCAATTTAGGGCAAAAGATCAGCCTTATAATTCCAATTTAAAACTTGTCAGTAATTAATTTAGACTTGTGATTTTAGACTTTCAGTATAAACAGTACCAAAGCTTCAGATATTAAGATTTATCATAATTATAAGTTTAATTTATTAGATATTTAAGATTTACTTTAACATTTATAAAGGTTTGTCAGAAAAGTGAACTACCTGACAAATAGTGAATATATTAAAAGCTATAAACAGTTTAAAATTTTAATTAAGGTGTAAAAGGAATAAAATACAAAGTCCCCTTTTAAAATAACTGCTTAAATTTACTATATTTATCTAAAAAATAAGATTTTAAATTGAACTTTAAAATTTAAGGAAGAATTTGGGTTTTAAGTTTAACTTTAATAAAGTATGTATTAATCCTTAAAATCAAAGAACTGATAAATAATCTTTTCTGTTTAAAAGGAAAAAGCCACCTTCAAGGATACCAAATCCTACTTAAGTCTTATTCATCTTTCAACACCCAAGTCAAATTCTTCCTTTTCCACAAAGCCTTTCCTCTTTTCCACAGATGAATCTACCCCATAATTATCTATCCCATGCTACATAAAAGAAATTTGTTTCTATCATTCAAATTACTAATTTATTCTATATAGTAGCATAACTTAGAATGAAAAACACTCCTCTTTAAGAAAAAAAACATCTCCAATCCAAGACCCTAAGTACTTTCAGAACATGGATCCTGTCTTATACTACTCGGTATCACTAAGAATATCTCATACAAGGCAATCCCAATATATAGTAACTATTGGTGGTTGATGAGCTGAATTTTAATAATCGTGAGTTTCTTTTTAAATGCACTATTACCTCTGTTACATCCCAATGGTGTAAAAATTGATCCAAGTCCGTAAGATAAAGAAGCACAGGGGAAAGCTGTGTCTGGATGACATGAGGAACTCCTCGAAGGCTCTGAAGCCAAGTCAACTCCTCTTTTGAAAACCCTAATTTGGGTACAAAGAAAGCCAATTTAAAAAAAATAAATCACAAAGAAGTGACATTCTTCATAATTTTTTTAAAAGAAATGACATGTACCTTCAAGTTTAATTCTTCTTTAAGCTACTTTGTTTTCTCTGAATTTCTGCATTTCACGTAGTGTTAAAAAAAATGAATTGCTAGCAATGGAGGCAGTAAAATTCATATAATTATGTACACAAAGGATGTGATGTGATCCCATCTATAATACAGCAAGAAATATGTTTTACCCCTTATATTGGGGGCACTACCATTTTTACTCAAAAAAATATGAAAGACATAATATCTTTCCAATTAATGGTAGATTTAAAAAAGCAAATGAACAAATATACTCCTTCATACATATACCAAACTCTTTATTCTCTTACATAATAGCCCTTCAAATATTTTAAAACTACTCTATCTCTCGTAAGTCTTTTTTTTTGATAATACATGTGTAGTTCTTTCCACTACACCTTATACAGCAAAATTTCTGATTCTCTTACCACCCCGATTACAAAGGACATGAATTACATACACAACTTGCCAAATTCCCTCCTAAAAGATAGCTCTCAAAATGATCAGAATACCAGCAATGTGGTCAGACTTGAGCTAACTGCTTGGATGTTCAGATCACTATATTTCCATGACCACAGCCTGAAGAGTCATGATCTAGTTTGACTAGCACAACACACTGACTCCTAATGAGCTTTCTAAAACCACTAAACCTTCTGACAGGTACTACTATTCAAACACGAAGCTCCTGCCTTCATCTCAAATGTGTACACTCAAAACTATCAAGTACACATGTAGAAGTCTACATTTATCTTTTATATAATATTTATCTTGCTATATTCAGCTCATTATGAGAACCTGTCAAGTTCTTTTTGGATTCTAACTTAACTAAGTCTCCTAATTTCAGGTCTTCAGAAAATTTCTAAGAATCTCATCTTCATCATCCAGGTATAAAACAGAAATGTTGAAATAGTACAAACATTTAAAACAATAGTAACAATACTTATACATCTAACTTTCAGCACTTTTAGACTCATTTTATTAACTGTGCTTTGAGGGCAAATGGAATGTAGAAAATGGCTAATCAAAATCTGATGTTCTTCTTATCAAGTTAAACATTTTGAATGTTTAAAATGAATATTCCGTTCATCAGTTTTTTGTTTGTTTTTTGTGAGGAAGATCAGCCCTGAGCTAACATCTGCCAATCTTCCTCTTTTTGCTGAGGAAGACTGGTCTTGGGCTAACATCCGTGCCCATCTTCCTCCACTTTATATGGGACACTGCCACAGCATGGCTTGCCAAATGGTGGGTCGGTGCACGCCCAGAATCCGAACCGGTGAACCCCGGGCCGCCACAGCGGAGCATGCGCACTTAACCGGTTGCGCCACCAGGCCGGCCCCTCATCAGTTTTTTTAAGTATGCAGTTTTTTAAAATATTTCTCTATTTGAAAAAGAGTCAAGTATGTCCAGTTCACTGCAAACAAAGATAAGAATAAAGCTGAGAAATAACAGTAAGAAAGGAATGAAAATAATAATCATGTGACATTCAAATAATCCCCAAGTTTCTGATACTTGTACCATGAGAGATTTAAAGATGAATCTTGCATCTCCCTGCCTCAAGACCCTGACAATGTAGGGTACAAATATTCCTTCAAAGATTTCCACTTATTACTCAATAAAAATCATTCCAAGGTAGACAGATTATTTATCATCTTCAAAATTGGAGCCAAGCAGACAAGACAGTAAATCTTAGGAGACTCTTCATACTAGGTTTGAAGAAAGGAAACTTTCTTCAACTTGGCAGGTGAATGTGGTTACCTGTAAGTGTTGAAAATAAGAAGCTGAAATAGTCCACATCACTCATCAACCAGTCTTTAACTGAATACTTCCATCCAGAAAATGATGATCTATAATAAACAACGGGAGAACTATTACCAGAAGTGACCAACTTGAAGACTCAAGAATAACAGCACAGAATATAACCATTTTTCTTTATTGAAAACAAGTCTGATTTAATAGCTTAAACAAAACCCATAGTATGTACTAACTTTATATATAAGGGCCCAAGTACCATAATATGGAAAATTGAACTTCTAACATATTTTTATTTATGTAAAGTTTCATTAAAAAGTTTAATTGGTCCACATATATGGTATGACTTAGAAAATTTCCATGCCATTTGAAAATCAGTCTCCAAGGAGCCAGGATGAAGTTTTGCTTTTCAGTAGTAGGTTCAGCTGCTATGTATTTACTACTTGATTTTTATAAAGTCTTACCTTGCTTACTTAAATGAGTTAAGTTTAAATAAGCTCCAGCTTCCTAACTAAGCAAAAGTATCTTAATTAGGCAAAGAATACTTCCATTTAAAGCCACTCTAAGATAACTATGTGTTCCTGTACTTTGCAAAGCTGCAACTAGGTCTACTTCACAATAGTACAGCTAAAGTACTCGTAGAGGACTCAAGGGAATAGCTAAATGTAAAGCAGCTTCTCATTAAATGAGGATTATCTGGTTCCTGCCATGAGATCAGCTTCCAGTGAGTCCTTTAAAAACTGTCTTCAAGGTACAGCTAAGAAGAGAGCAAATATCAACCATAGATACAGCAAAAAAAGGCTGAGAATCATCAGATCCAACAAGCTGAGACTGCAATCTTATCACAGAGATCTGAATAAATGTCAGACAAAATTAGGAGTTTCTAATTCAACTAGAAGCACTTAAATAAACTTTTTTACCATTAAAATAATTGTAGTTCTATTCATTAATATTCTTAAAATTTGAGGAGTTAAAATAATGGAAACACCCTTCTGAGTATCATTCCCACAATAAGCAAAGGGCTATCAAAGGAATATCACAAGCTAAGAGGTTATAAAAAGCTAGAGGAGCTCAATGGAAAGGAGTATAAAATGGTGGTTAGAAAACAAATGAATATCCTCCTGAACCCAGTGAAAACAGGAATCAACTATGCCATCCAGTGGCTACAAGGGGTAGCAAATCTATTTTGGACAAATGACAAGCAATATATCACACTGTCCTTAAAACTATGATGACCATATATGCTGTCCAAGCCAGAACACTTCTGAGAGGAAAAGGGGATGCTATTACTAATAATGCTGGGACAAAAGTAAACTGGAACTGTCCCTGACAGACCAGGTCATAATTCATCCTACTGAAAACCCACAGCAAATTCCTTAGTTCAAGAATTTCTCCCTTCTCAGAGATTTTTATCTAACAGATTACCTTTCCACATTTATATCCTATGTTCCCCAAACCAGTGTAAATAGGGGCAGAGAGGATAAGGTCTGAGCAAAGGCCAGTGGAACAACACAAGTAGAATGGTATAGGGAAAAAGTCCAACTCTAAAAACCTCTCAGTGAGTGGTAAAAAAGGTAGGGGCAGCAACTCTAAGTACACTTTTTTTTTAATTTTTGTGAGGAAGACCAGCCCTGAGCTAACATCCGATGCCAATCCTCCTCTTTTTTGCTGAAGAAGACTGGCCCTGGGCCAACATCCGTGACCATCTTCCTCTACTTTATATGGGATGCTGCCACAGCATGGCTTAACAAGCAGTGTGTCGGTGCACGCCCGGGATCCGAACTGGCGAATCCTGGGCCGCCGCAGCGGAGCGTGCACACTTAACTCCTTGCACCACCAGGCCAGCCCCATTAAGTACACTTTTTAAAGGATAAAATGAATACCAACAGTTTTTAGCTGATGGGTTTTTCACACACAGAACAAACTGATATCTTTTGGTAGTATCCTGCTCTTAGATATGAACTCTCTCCGATAGAGACAGCAGGGCATCAAAACCAAAAAATCTGAACTGAACTTGATATCACAGACCAATTAGTGTAACAGACAAAAATCAGAGATGATTAAATGAATATTTCAGGAAAATTAATCTTGTGCAACAGTGCACAAGACAGATGAGACTAAGAAGCAAGACTACTATAATAGTACAGGTGGGAGATAATGAAAAAATTGGCTAGTTTATATTCATGTCAAGGAGAGAAGGATATTTTGAAGAGAAAACAAAAGATATGAAATAATTCAGCATACGTCTGAAGGAATCAAATGTGATCCTTAAATTCTGAATCTAGGAAAAGTGGTACAATGATGCCATTGGCCTGAGAAAGTTGAGAAGTCCTAATTTTGTATTTTTTAAGAGAGATTAGTTTGAATGGGAACAATACGTCTCCAGAGAAGTCTACTAATAGACTCTGCAAATACTAAAAGGCAAAATTTAACTTGGTGAACTTTTAACCGCAACGAAAACCTGCTTTTACTTTAATTATTAGGAACCCCTATTATCATTATTTGTAAATTAATATACTTTCTCAATGCTCACCACAAATCTCCACAAAAAGAAAAAACGCAGACTTTTGAAAACATCCTTGACAAAGTTACTAACCATAAGCGAATTATAACTGATGTTGATAAAGATATTAAATATAGCTTCCAAAGAGAATCAATTTCAGGTGTTCAAAAGGTGATTTTAATTGAATGTTAAAACAGATCCTCTACTAGAATTGTATCAAAGGAACAGAGTGCCCTCTACTGGAAGTTAATAAACACAAAACCACTTAAGTTATAGAAAAAGAAATAACATTTAATTTTATTAAAGGCCTAGCATTAAATAATTGATTACACTAGACAAAGAGAAGGTTTTTTTTTTTTAATTTCTAAGAAAGAAAAACACAGGAAACTAATAAATGTTTAAAATACTTAATAAGACCAAGTCTCTCTCTAACGTACATGCACACAGAAGAAATAAACTTTGAATTTTCACATATAAACAACACGCTGACATAGCCCTCTTCTGCTGAAAGGAAAGGTTATCATCAGTTACGAAGCATACTTTAGGTGACTAAACTCAAACATACATCCTATACTGGTATGAAGAGACTGGCAAACAAAGCTAAAGAAAGTCTACTAATAGAGTGAACTATTTAACTGGGATAGGGGATCTGTACAAGAAGCCACAAAGAAGCTAGTGTTTAAATTTTCAGCTACAGCCCAGATTTCCATTTCTGCCTAAAACCATCAGACCCTGTCCATGAGCCACAATCAGTAATAAATATTGCTGAATACTAAAATACTATGCCTGATGATAACAGACATAAGATGTTTAAGGATACTCTGAACACTTGCAATATTGAAACACTATTAGTTATAAAACCTTTCAGAGTAAAATGGTGTAGCCACTGTAGGGCAGTTCCTCAAAAAATTAAACAGATAATTACCTATGATCCAGCAATTCCACTTCTGGGCATACAGCCAAAAGAATTAAAAGCAAGGACTCAAACAGATATTTGTACACCACGTCAATGTTCATAGCAGCATTATTCACAATAGCCAAGAGGTGGGAACAACCAAGTGTCCATCAACAAATGAACAGATAAACAAAATGCAGTATATACATACAATGGAATATTATTCCACCTTAAAAAGGAAGGAAATTCTGACACATGCTACAACATGGATGAACCTTGAACATCCTTGAAGAGTTATGCTGAGTGAAATAAGCAAGACACAAAAGGACAAATACATGATTCCACTTATATGAGGTACCTAGAATAGTCAAAATCATGAAGATAGAATAATGGTTAGCAGGGACTGGGGGAAGGGGAATGACGAGTTATTGTTTAATGATTACAGAGTTTCAGTTTGGGATGATGAACAGTTCTGGAGATAGTGGTACTGGTTGCACAACAATGTGAATGTACTTAACGCCACTGTGCAGTTTTAACAGTACACTTAAAACTGGGTGAAATGGTAAGTTTTATGTTACGTATGCATATTTTACCACACACAAAAAAGATTTCAAGTGATTCCTTGTCTGAGTCCACAAACTTATTTATTTCACCAGCTACAGTAAATTCTGAGCTCCCTGAAAATCTGAATCGCAACTCCGTAACATTAAAGGTTTTAAGCACAAACCTTTGTGTTAAAAAGGTTAATAGCTACAGCCAGTTAACCTTTGCTGTTTCTATTTTCACCTACCACTGAACCCTTACTATATGCTTTTGATAATTTCAACCCTTATTGCAATCTATACAAATCACTAAACAAGTAACGTGAAACAGTCTTACTCTAGTGAGCTTACGCTATCTAGCAATAACATCATCAGTTTTATTTGTTGCATTAAGAGCAAATGAAGGCAGCAGCAGTATACGACTTGAAAGCCTTCTGTACTTGACAAACTGCTAGTAAGACAGGTAGGGGGAAAAGATTATACACTTAAAATACAGCTCACTTGAGCATGCTACCTCATGTGCAGTATCCCGATAAGCATGGCAGCCAAACTTGAACTGAGTCTTCCCATAATACAGCAACGACTTAACCGAGAAAGCAATTCAGCAGGCAGACTGGGTAGAAAATATACAAGCTGGACCAAACGCTGCTGAGACTCTGCTGGGAGAACCACCACAGTGCCTTCTTGTGGATCTAGTGGGGTGGGCAGACATAGTAAATTCAACTATAAAAGATATACAAACCAGAGATTAAATCAATAAAGCAGATTGAGTGATTATTTTCACTGTGTTGTGAATTCCAATATATCAATTACATGAAAAAATTTTCATCATAAAGCATATGTGTGGCTTAAGCTCTTTTCTAAAGTAAATCACTGACCATAATCATTATTTAAAGATATATTTATTTAACACTGTAATAATTTCATAATATCCAAGTGTCTTGTTTGAAATAAGAACTTGGATGGGGGTAAAGGGATTGGACACAAAGCAAAACATTAAAAAACAAGCACTTTTGCTAAACAGTGACAATTACAATATCAACCTAATTTAAAGCAAAAGACCTGTCTGTACACGTACACACACACATCCCTACATATAAGCAATACAGAAAAATACAGATTTAAAAATATAACCCACAAAAGGTAGAAACAAACCATATGTCCATCACCCAATGAATGGATAAATATAAATGGTATGTCCATATAATGGAATACTACTCAGCAATAATAAGTAAAGTACTGATATATGCTACAAAACGGATGAATCCTAAAAGTAGTATGCTAAGTGAAAGAAGCCAGACTCAAAAGGCCCTGTATTATAATAATCCCATTTATAAGAAATGTCCAGAAGGCAAATATATAGAGACAGACAAGTAGATTAGTGGTTGCCAGAAGCTGGGGAAGGAAGGAGTCGGGAAGGACTAAAAATGGGTAGTTTCTTTTTGGGGTGATAAAAATATTCTGGTATTAGTGGTGACAACTGCAAAACCTTGGGAATATGTTAAAAATCACTGAATTGTACGCTGTAAAATGGCAAATTTTATGGTATGTGAATTATATCTTAATAATAAATATAAATTATATATATGTATATATCCCAGTATGCTTTTATTGGTATTTTTGCTTAAAATATGAAATAGTTCAAGGGATGAAGAAGTATTAATATATGGAAGTCTACAAGATATCCATTATGATTAAATAAGTAATTTGCTGACAAAGCTTCAAAGGAATTTTTAAAAAATACCTGATCAGTTTTGAATTTGGGAATACCAGGTAGTTTAAAAGAAAATTTAAGAATGCAAAAAGCATCTATTAACTTTCTGAAACTATTCAAATAATATACCTATTATTAAAAGTAAATTTACTGTTTGATGTTTTGTTTTGTTTTGGAATTTTAACTGTGGTATAACTAATTTATAATAATTGAAAGGAAAGGCAAACCTAGAGCTTCCCTTAGAAACGTCTTTCCTAAATTGAGGTAGACCAATGTATATGTACACAGTTAAACAAACTCTTACCATAGATTCGGAGAGCAGTCACTTGTAAACTTTTTAGTAATTCTTTATTTGCTCGTGCTGCAGCAGTATGGATGATATCAATAAGCTGTGTTGAGAGCTCAGGGTTTCGGGAGCCCAGATGAGCGAGTTGCAATGGTAAACCAGCCAGCCAACGGGATATCACTTTACTACGGTATCTAAGAATGGCCAAGGAACAGTAAAATAAAGTATAATTTTCAAAGACAAGAGAAATAAAACAATTTTTTTAACTTAAGTACACCAAAAAGTGACAAATCATCTAACAATAACACCACATTTACTCATTTAAACATTTGAGAGCCTACAAGATTGCCAGCATCACTTATTCAGCTATAGCATTTTCCAAGTTTTTACCTACTAAATTAAAAAGTTCATGTAATCTGGGGCACTACCTAAACTGTATTTTTATCTTAAAGGACACAGACACTACTTAACTCTTTGTGTACTACTTATCTTAATTAGTGTTAATTATTATACTATATTAATGCATTGATGCATTTACTGTAAGGTGCCGCCACACTAAATGGCTTCAAACTTGTGTTATTTTAGCTCCTTAGTATATTTGCTTTAGTCTTCTTACTCAGGTAACAGCAATCATTTTTGCTGTCCCCTCAGAGCTTAGTGATTTAGGCATGACCTTTGTTAGACAGAACTGAAGTCTCAACTCCATTACCCATTAATTGCATGACACTCACCAACTTATTTAACCTAAACTTTAGTTTTCTTCTGTAAAATGGAAGTAATAGTACCTCCTAGTAGTAGTATGAGAATTGAGGTAAATTATGAAAAGCACCTGGCTTACACTGAAGACTCAAAAATGTTGCAACTACCTATGTATGCTGAGGTATCCCAAATCTCTATCTTCTGCTCAAACATCTCTTCCTGACTCAAATAAACCTCCAACTCATCATATCAAAAAGTTATTCTGGGCCGGCTCCGTGGCTTAGCGGTTAAGTGCGCGCGCTCTGATGCTGGCGGCCCGGGTTCGGATCCCGGGCGCGCCCCAGGGCACCGCTTCTCCGTCCAACGCGAGGCCGAGTCCCACGTGCAGCAACTAGAAGGATGTGAACCTATGACATACAGCTATCTACTGGGGCTTTGGGGGGAAAAAAATGAATAAATAAAATCTTTAAAAAAAAAAAAAAAAAGTTATTCTTTTTGTTGTCCATCTCACCCGATAGCACCGAACCAGAAGCTTTCTCATCTTCTATTGCCCTCCTTCTTAGACCATATGCCTCAGTGTGTAACTAAGGGCACAGGGGTTCAACCTCCATAATTTTTATAGGAAGCAAAAGAAAAGACTGAGGCTGCTATAGGTTGTTCCAACTGTCCTTTAGCTGTAAGAGGCCAAGTGGAAATACACGCGCAAAGAGACTTTAATCTCTTCAGTTATGCGTATAGTCACACATTGCTTAACGATGGGGATATTATGAGAAATGCATCATTAGGTGATTTCGTCATGGTGCAAACATTATAGAGTGTACTTATCCAAACCTAGATGGGATAGCCTACTACACACCTAGGCTATACGGTACTAATCTTATGGGACCACTATCGCATACATATGACTGAAACGCTGACTGAAATGTTGTTATGCGGCATGTGACTGTATAAAGATTACTGGCACTATTCTGTATGCTTCTTCATAAAATTTTATATCTTTTCTTAAATGCAACCAAATTGGATAAAAAGAGTAAACTTCTCCCAAGATTTAATCACCTCACCCTAATAAACAGACAACAAAAAAACTTGGCAAGAAAAAGGCAAAATAATAAATGAAACTTTACCTGACTCTGTAAGATCGCAGTTCTTCTTTTTGATAGATTTTACTGAAAAACTTCAGTAACAAAGTCCGAACTGGAAGGAGAAGGCCCCTTTGCTGATACAATGTATAAACTGCCTTTATGAGAGACTCTGTAGCTTCTAAAAACAGAGAGAAAACAACTGCATATGAATCAAAAATGTTTCTTCACCAGCCCCCAAATTCCTCTAAAAGCACAGAAGTATTTTACTTTGTTCCTATGACAAATTACATCTTAGCCACAAACTGATGACGACCATCAAAGTCCTATAGCAATGGCCTGACTAAAATAAAAGTCAAACCAACCAGAGATTACAGTATAGATTTTCCTAAGGGCCAACAAACCTAAGTAGGGATGACAAAAACTAGGATAGCAGAAAGGCGAATAAGATGGGAACCAAACAGGAAAGCTTTGTTTCTGAATGAAAAGAATTAGTAAGAACGCTAAAATCTGACTTAATGTGACATAACTTCAAGCTAGAAGAAACGCAAAGAAAATAGGCAGGATTCATTCTATATGGATCAAAGGAAAAAGCTCTCAATTTCTAGTCAAACTAGATCAGAAGAAGGTATTTCTTCATCAGTAGGCTTGATAGCATTTCTTCTTAATACCTACCTCCTTTTACTCCAATTCTATAATCTGCTATTAATTTGATCAATTTTTGCTTCAGAGTGGACCTACCCACTGAGAAATGGATGCTCTGAGCCATAAACAATTTCAGTGTTCAAGGAAGATAGTCCTTCATAATTATGCTAGCTTTTACGGCTTGAATGTAACTAACCTGACTACATGGAATGTTTGAAAGTCATCAATTCAAAGCTAGACCCTAAATGGCATGCATAAGAGCTCCTCTCTTAAATAAGGACAAAGCAGCATCACCTACCTCTGTTTGGTTGTATCTGCATTAACCTCCACGATACCCCAAGCAATCTGTTCAGCTGCTTACTATTTAGCCTAGAGCCATCTTCAAGGGTCTCTGTCACAAATTTCCTTATCATTTCTATCCAATTGGAATCCTTTTGCAAAGTTGAGGCATTTGCCAAGGAGACCATGATATCAGACAGTGTTAAATTCAGTAAGAGATGATCTACATTATTGGAGAGAATCATGCAATGCTTGTTGCTAAAAACAAATAAAAACAGACGTCAATAAAGTGTTATATCTACCATGCCTGCTTCACTCAGAATACTTAAAATAATCAATGGGTCAAAAAATATTTCCTTCTGGAATAAAGTGCCAAAGAAGAAAGGTACGTAGACCATTGTTTTGTAAATAAAACATTCATTATGGAATCCAGGTTGTTAAGACATGAATTAAGAGTATATACTGCTTAATTCACTACCCTAGTTGCTATTCACACAAAAAGCAAAGGCCCTTGTAGCACTGCTTGGTAATCTTAGAAGTAATTTAAGTAATTACCTAGAAGTAATCTAAGAAGTAAAAACCTCAACACACTTGAAGATTTTATTTTATTATTTTTTTAATAATTTTATTTATTTATTTACTTTTCCCCCAAAGCCCCAGTGGATAGTTGTAGGTCATAGCCGCACATCCTTCTAGTTGCTGTATGTGGGACACGGCCTCAGCATGGCCAGAGCAGCGGTGCGTCGGTGCGCACCCGGGATCTGAACCCGGGCCGCCAGCAGCGGAGCGCGTGCACTTAACCACTAAGCCACGGGGCCGGCCCTTGAAGATTTTTTTTAAAGCAGATACTTATACTCGGATGGAGGTCACAGTATATCTTGACTCTTCTTCTAACTAATCACAACTTAAGAGGCTCACTAATTTCTCCTGGCCACAATTTCCCTTCCAAGTGAAATAAAGAGACTGGTCCAGATAAGCACTGTTCTGAAATGACTTAATTTTATGACTCACATATTAAAATCAGTTTTTTTCCAGCCAAATAAAACACATTTCTTTCAAAGCTTGAAAGAAATTTCAATAAACCTCAAATACAATACCTTAATAAAAACAAAATTTGCAACTTAGAATATAAATACTCATTTCAGACTATGGTATGTATAGTCAACAGCAGAGCTTACTTATTTCATGCTTAGGAAAATGTAAAGTTGATCAAAATAAAAAATATCTCTAACTAACCAATTTTAAAGGAAAAGGTTAATCCTGGATTAGGCCATGAGCAAGGACATAGTAGTGAGGAACCACAAATACATGGGAAAGGAAATAAAAGAAATCTGGTGCCATCAGAGCATCAAATGTAGTGCTAGAAATGACAAATGAACCTAGAAAGGTAAAAGGGGACCCAATTACAAACAGTTGGAGGAAAAGGAGTAACATGGTTGAAAATGTTTTTCAGATGGATGATTCTGTGGATGGAAAAAGAAAAATGAGAGTTACAAAACTATAAACAAAAAAGCAGTTGTCTGGCTATGACAGCAATCTAGGCAAAAGATGACAAGCACAAGAACCAGGATCAGTGTTGGTATGGACTGGGAGAAGAAGGGACATTTTCCTAGGAAGAATAAAAATTAGCTGGATTTGAAGTTTGCTTACTTGTCCACATGTACGTGAGTTTTGGGATGGCAGAGACTGAAGGAATCAAGTGTTCTAGCACTGGTGACTGGGTAAATGGAGATGATGTAGCAGACACAAGAGGAGCAGAGATCCAGAAAATATATTCCACTTTAGATATGTTGATCTTGAAGTGTCTGGTATAAATCCAGGAAGACATGGCCAATAGACAGCTCAATGTGCAAGTGTGACACTGGAGAGAGGAAGTCTGAGCTATTTAATAGAAATTACCCTCATGACGACAACTAGCTGCAAAAGAAGCTGGGAAATCTAGTTTTTATTTCATGCAGTCCTACACCCAGCTAAAAACTGGGAATTCTATCATTAAGAAAGGAAAGAATGGGGGCTGGCCCCATGGCGTAGCAGTTAAGTTCGCACCCTCTGCTTCGGCAGCCCGGGGTTCGCAGGTTTGGATCCTGGGCGTGCACCGACGTACCACATGTCAGGCCATGCTGTGGCAGCATCTCATATAAAGTAGAGGAAGATGGGCACGGATGTTAGTCCAGGGCCAATCTTCCTCAGCACAAGGAGGAGGATTGGCATCGGATGTTAACTCAGGGCTAATCTTCCTCACAAAAAAAAAACAAAAAGAAAGAAGGAAGGAAAGAATGAAAACTGCGACAGATGACTAACAGTCTATACCACAAGCCCAAAATTACTACTAGGTTCTTTGCCAAACTGCTCAGTGCCCAAAACCAAGGCACGTTTTACACTAACTAGACCACAAAAAAACTTAATTGCAACATTTCTTTACCACAGGTAGAGCTTTCCAAGATCTACTCTAAGTTTATCTCAAGCAGCATAATCTATTACTGTCTGGAAGATCTCAATGGACACTGCAAACCTCAGAGAATTCATTCTGCTCCTCTAATAATTTATACAAAATTTTAAAGACTAAATATACCAACCATCGAGTCTATGAGGGAGACACACTGCGGGGGAAACTCCAATTTAAACATTTATTGGGGCCCAAAATCTAGGAAAAAGCAAGATCTCAGCACTCAAGTCTTAGTCCTGAGGACAAATGCCTATTTCAAAGAAAAAGCTGCAAAACTGAAGTAACCTTTTAGTGGCCTCACAGTTGGAAAAGTCAAAGCCCAGGGCCTGTCAAACGTGGGGACTTCATATTACCCTACTTCAAAGCTGGACCCTTAAAGGTTTCTCTTCCAGGATAAAGGTGAACTAGAAGTAAAAACAGCTCTTAGATAAAGCTTAATCCCAGTTTTGCATCATCCCAGCAGTTTAAATAACAATTCTTCCCAGCTAGATCTATAGATTCAACACAATTCCAATCAAAATCCCAACAAGCTATTTTGTAGTTATCGACAAACTGATTCTCAAGTTTACACGGAAAGGGGAAAGACCTAGAATACCCAACACAAGACTGAAGTGGAAGAAAGTTGGAGGACTCATACTATTTGATTTCAAGACTTACTGTTCAACTATAGTAATCAAGACAGCATGGTATTGGTGAAAGAATACACACACATAAGTTAATGGAACAAAGAGCTCCAAAATAGACCCCCAAAAATACAGTCAACTGATGATCTTTGACAAAGGAGCAGAAGCAATTCAGTGGAGAAAGGACGGTCTTTTCCACAAATGGTGCTGGAATAACTGGACAGAAATTCTAGCACCAAAAAATAAAAATAGAAAAAATATTCAGAGGATTTGTGTTTGACCACGATTGAACAAAACTAAAGAATTAAAACCTGGAAGATATGAGATAAAGAAAAGACAAGAGAAATGGGTAGAAGATTCAGTGAGTAGGTCAAACATACATTTAATTAGTCTTTAAAGGAAAGGAGAGAAATGGGACTGCAGCAATTTTTTAAAAGAGGAGAATTTTTCAGATCTATTTAAAGACACTTCACTCAAGACTGAAGATCTCAGATTTAAGAAGTCCACTGAATCCCAAGGAGAATAAATAAAAAAGAAAACCACACCCGGATACATCATTGTGAAACTGTGAAAACAAAAGACAAGGAGAAAAATCTCAGGGGGAAAAAAAACAGGTAACTTTCAAAGTAGCAACAGCTAAACTCATAGCTGTTCTTAACACAGCAATGGAAACCGGGAGAGAGTCCAGTGTTACTGTCAGTGTGCTCAAAGAAGAAAACTGTCAACCTAGAGCACTATGCTCTGCTAAAACATTCTTTAGAAATGAAGGACAAACAGTATTTTTATACATAAAAAAACCTCCAGTAGATTCTAATGGTCCCAGATGGATGGACAGAAATATATGAAAAAAATGAAGAGAGAAAAAGCAGGAAATACATGGATAGAACTTAGGTGGATACAAGTTCTCTAAAATATTAATTTTTGCTTGAAAGCTCAAATTTTATCAGTGGCACAAATATTATCAATTGTTTTCCTGGAATTGATAGGCTCACTTCGTTCATTTTTCAGAAAATATCTGCCAAATACCTAAGCCTGAATGGTTTGTCTGTTAGTCATTCTTTCAAGGTAAAATCGTATCCATCAGAGGAAAATACTCACAAGCAAGATAATCATACAAGTGTATTTCCTTGAGATAACCATCATTCTGTGGTATGCAGCTAAAATACTTTATGCAAACTTCCCATTTCATCAGACAGAAAATTAGAAATCTGTCTTCCCAAGGGTTGTGACTTAATAAAATTAGTAATTTTTACTGCTTCATTAAGGACATTTTTAAGTGAAACTGGCTTGTTCTTTTAAACTGTGAACACATGATGGTGAAGAATACAATGTCTACAAGTACAGTTTAGTGCCACTGCCTTAATCCATGCTAAGATACCAACAGCTTTACTCACTATTGCTTTTGTACCACCAGTGCAAATGTCAGAACAATGAAAAAGGTAAATAATGTCTTAATATAATTGTGAAAATAGTTGTGACCTTGTGGATCCCAGGGGTCACAGCTCACACTTTGAGAAACAGTCTTAGATAAATGGCGTAAGAGTAAGCTAGTTAACTGTAATCCACTGTCTTACAATAGCAAAAATGATCTACCGTTTACAGGAAATCCCCGTAAGCTTTCCTCCCACCCCTAACCTAATTTGTTCTGTTCCTTTATCATACGGTTCTCGCAAAGTAATACCTGTCCTTAAGAATTTCAGATTCTGGATCTTCAATGGAGTCTTTTAAACTAGTTAGGAAAACTTTCTATATACATTCAACAAATCTCTTTTTACCAAGTAACCTTTTGTACTGTTCCAGGTGATATTTTCTTTTAGCCTTAACAGACATTTCTGTTCAATTTAACTATAGGAAGCCCAGATTTCTCCTATAGGTGAAGCTGCGAGTCAATTTCTTTCTGCTTCCTTAAATACTCAATTCCTATTGCACTGTCTCTGGGGTTTATTCCATCCTCAGGTTCCCACAAAGAAATCTATTTGTTAGTACATTTTTCTAAAATGTAATAATTCACATGCTGTCTGAACTATTATTTACTCACTGTTTCTTTAATATAGCTCACTTTCAAAAAACAAGTATTTCTAAAAGAAACTTTCTATCACTACCATAAATGGAAAACCAGCCCTTCCTAATATACTTTGCAATAAATTCCCAACCACCGCTTAATCAATCTCAACTTGCTAAATCAAAGTTCTCCATTCCCTCCGAAAAAATAAACTAATTTTCCCAGTATACTGGAAAATCTTTTGAACTAGTAGACTACTCTAGTCAGCAGTGAACTTCTGCTCTCACAAGTTGATTTGCAGGCCAAAGGCAAGATTTAACTGTATCTGTTCCTACTACATACTAGAATTACTTCGTTAGAATAATCACAAACTAGTAAATTACGAGTGCAAAAAGAAAGTTTTCTTAGAAACAACTACACTGAATCTTTAAAATGTGAATATTTTCAATAAAGCCAAAATTATATCCTTTGATAGACACAAAAGAATTGAAAAGTGGGGACTTAAACAGCTATCTGGAGACCAATGTTCATTACAGCATTATTCACAATAGCCAAAGGGTGGAAACCACCCAAATGTCCATTGACAGATGAATGGATAAACAAAATACAGTATTTACATACAATGGAATATTATTTAGCCTTAAAAAGAAATGGAAATGTGGAAGCAACCAAGAGCTGGTTCAGTAGGTGAAAAGATAAACTGTGACATACCCATACAATGGAATATTATTTAATACTAAAAAGAAATGAGCTATCATGCCATGAAAAAAACATCAGGGAGGGAAGGATGAATAGGCAAAGCACAGAGAATTTTTAGGACAGTGAAACTATCCTGTATGATACTATAAAGATGGATGTCATTATACATTTGTCAAAACTCATAGAGCACATAACACCAAGAGTGAACCCTAATGTAAACTATGGACTTTGTGTGATACTAATGTGTCAGTGGAGGTTCCTACAACCTACAACCTACAACAATAGGTTGTAACAAATGTCTAAGTCTGGCGTGGGATGCTGAGAGTGAGGGAGGCTATGGCGGCAGTTTATGGGAACTCCGTACTTTCTGCCCAATTTTACTATGAACCTAAAACTGCTCTAAAAGGTAGTCTATTAAAAAAAAAAAAAAAGAATAAAATGCTGGTACATGCTATAACGTGGATGAACCTTGAAGACATTATGCTAAGTGAAATTAAGCCAGACACAAAAGAACAAATACTGTATGATCCTACTTATATGAAGTACCTAGAACAGTCAAATTAATAGAGACAGAAAGTAGAACAGTGGTTCCAGTGGTTCCCAGGAGCTAGCTGGGGGAAAGAAAGCATGGGGAATTACTGTTTAATGTGTACAGAGTTTCAGTTTGGGAAGATCAAAAAGTTCTGCAGATGGATGGTAGAGATGGTCCCTATCTAACAATGTGACTGTACTTAATGTCACTGAACTGTATGGTAAAATGGTAAATTTTATATTATGTATATTTTACCAGAATAAAAATAAATAATATCCTTTGCAACTGTATTTCAACCCAAGATGAAAAAATTTAGACAACAGGTCAAAAATTAACTGGGGTTACATGAATAAGTAAAAGTGTAAAGACCACCGGCCTAGACTATTGTTGGCTCCCTAACTTTAATTTTGTTGCCCTCTACAGGCTACCTGCTAAGAAGTCAATGCACTTCCTTAAGGAAGTACAAGAGCAGCCTGTAGTCCCTAAGAACAAATCACTGGGGAACTTTGTGAAGAATAAGTTGATTATACTGCCAATCCATTTTTGCTAAAAATTCCACAATTGCACCATCTCAGCCTCCACATCGAGTTAACTCCTTTTTCACCTTTAGTATCTTGGCACAAATCAATTCATCAGGGCTACCTTCCCTAGGACTCTATTCCCTCCATGAAACATCAGGACCAGCTCCTTACTATTTACTTTTGTATTACCCTAAACTCTTCCTTCATTAACTTTATCACACTTGGTCACTGATTAAAGAATCACAGAACTAAATATAAATATGTCTCCCTCATTAGACTGCACTCCACAAGAACTGGTACCCGATATCTACTTTACCACTAAAGGCTCAGCACCTAGTATAGTAAGTGCCTTGCATGTTATTAAGTGTCCGATAAATTTGTCAAATAACGACGGTACACCCATACACTCTTGGATACTGTACTTACATTTAACGGTCTGCTGAATTCCAAAATCCTAACCATTATTTAATTTCATTATGATGAAATTATATATGGAACCTCTTACCAGAAAAAATACACACACACACAATTCTATTCAAGAGTTCAAGGACTTTCTAAACCTTACCCATGGACCTAATTAAAAACTTTTGCTCTAGTAAGAAAACTGTATGGGGGGGTACCTAAGCTTACTCAAGAAACTATCTCCCTATTTGACTCTCTGTTCCCTCCAACTCCAGAAACTCCTTAAATTAATATTCTAAAACATAGTTTTGATCCAACCAAAAGTCTTCAATGCCAAAAAGATCAAAACTGAAAGATAAATGAACTCCAGAGACAATAAACGATTTTCAGCATCAAGGCTAGTGAATAGCAGAAACCAGATTGGACTCAGATCTGCCTCATGCTCTCCATTACCTAATCCTATAGCTTTCCTGTATGCTATCTCCTCCAGTTAGTATAACCTCTCATCCCTTGCTTCATTTCTGCCTGCAAAAGTCATATCCATGCTTAAATATTACTCTTCAATATAGCTTTGTCCGTTTAGCCTAACAATGATCTTTCTCTTCCTATGAATTCCTATAGCACTTCTTAATTGTACAGTTCAAATGACACTTTTATACTGCCTTGTGTTACATATGTAAATTCACTTTTCCTCCTGCCAGTTACTGAGCGATTGTTTCTCAGCTTCAAACCCACCCTTCTACACTCTGCTTTGTGATCCTGGGGCTGGGACTCTGTGAGCCACATTTTTTCTTTTGCAGCTGGCTTCCTGTTAGGCTCTGCCAATCAAGGGGTACTAGAAAGAGACTGCAAAGCTGTAAAAGGAAGATGAGACACTCTCCTTTCTGTTTGCTTCCTACTCCTGTTTTGGCTTCCTTTTGCTGCCAGTGCAACCCAACAACTCTTCTTCAGGCCAGCAGCAATTCAGTCCAGTAACCACAGTTGATTCCAGTTCGCAGTTTTTCTGACACAGAACCAGCATCATTATACTCCTAAGAAACATTGGCACCAGCCAGCCAGAACCCCCTTTGCAGAGTTCCGGGCCCCAACTCCATAGGGCCCCTCTTCTGATCTCAAAGACATTCGCCATCAACTGAGCACCAACCCCTTCCCAGAGGTCTGAGTTTTGGCTCCACATAACCTTTCTTCCCCTCTTCTCTTTGTCCTCCCAGTCCTAGAGACAGTGGCCACTTCCTGCACCTGCTACCTCCATAATACCTTACTGTTCCCTTTTGTCTTTTAGTTCTGTCTCCTGAAGTTGGACCCTGACACACACTTTTACCAATTTTTTCATTTTTTACCGATTTTAGCAATTTTATGATATCACTTAGGAGAACAAGGAGTATACCTTAAGACACCTGGTTATCTCTATCATGATACTTTGTTTATAATAAGCAACCAAGATAAATATTTAGTGAATGAATGAAAAGCTCATCTGCCTCAATTGCCTTAGCACTGCTGAGCATATCCTTTGAACCCTGCTCAAAGATCCTCCAGGCAGTTTCTTCCCTTTGATAAGTTTAAGAACCTTCTGATAGACTTTAAGATCCTTTCAAGGGTTTGCTCATTTGGGGGAACTGCACTTTTAGTGTTCTAGCTTGTACCTGCTTGTCAAATTTTATTAGAGAACTTATTTTTGCAATTATCTGCTCTCACCTGAGGTGAACATTTTAAATAGTTTCAACGTTTACATTTTTTTAAAACTCCATCTCCTAATCCATAACCCTTTCTGTTTATTTTAGAAAACTATTTTTCTCCAATTATCCCTCTTCCTTCAGGATACTGATATTAGTTTCATTACCATCTCCACATGTGTAAATGAGAGAACTAGATGACCTTTAAGATACTCTCACTTAGAGATTCAACAATTACATAGTGATTCTCCCACTTCAGCAAATTTTATTAAATTCATATTTATGTAATTTTATATTTCACACTCATTTAGCACAAAACACTCACTTCACAGATTTAAAAAAAATTTCAGGGCCGGCCCTGTGGCTTGGTGGTTAAGTGCGCGCGCTGCGATGCTGGTGGCCCGGGTTCGGATCCCGGGTGCGCATTGGGGCACCACTTCTCCGTTCATCCTGAGGCCGAGTCCCGCATGCAGCAACTAGAAGGATGTGCAGCTACGACATACAACTATCCACTGGGGCTTTGGGGGGAAAAAAAATAAAATAAATAAAAAAAATTTCAAAAAACTGGAAGTCCCAGGACTTAAAGTGACTTGTTCAAGATCAGCCATACTACTGCTACTTTTATTTTTATTTCACAATACCTAGATATAAATACCTCACAGTGTAAAAAGTTCTAGTTTAAGGCTCATTATTTTCTGATAATTTCAGGTAAAACAGCTTTTCAAGACTATACAGTGGAAAAGAATCACAATACCTTTTATTTGTTTCTTTCTTTCTGTTCTTGGTTATTTCTTTTAAGGCATATGGAAAATGACTCATAAAATGGTGTTTGAAATCAATAAGATAATTCTTTCGAAGCCACGACTCCTATTAAAATAAGCAAAGATCAGAAAATCTATAATAAACAATAATTTAAAATAGCTAATAAAACTTTAAGAGAAATTTGTTAACTTGCCAATATTCAACTATAAATTTACCATTATAATATACCTTCTGCTCATGATATAATATGTAAATAAATTTTAAAATCAGAATAAACTGTTATATCATCCAATTTTTACCAAGAGATCTTTTTGGTGCTTAATAATTACTTTTACTTGCCTTTTTATCTACTGTTTAAGAGGAGAAAAAGGGAGAGAGTAAGATTTAAGAAAATTCTGAATTTGAACCACTAACGCAATATTTATAAAATATACAAGAAAGTCTTCTACCTAGTGTTCTACTTACACCATAACTCTATTCCCCAGCAATTCCATTAGTTCCCATTAAAGGTATTTAACATTTTCACAAAGCAGTGCACTTCCCTAAATGTCTTCAGCAGTATTCATGAATCTATCATTCTCTCTCACTTGAAACACTATCTAATTCCAAATTACAACACTCATTTCCTCCTATCCAAAAGACCAACGATTCCATTTTGCCAGGGACTGAGGGATTTCTTGGCATGTGGGACTCGAGGTGCTAAAATAGCTGGTCACCCTACAGCTCCTTAGTATCCTTTACTGGATTCTTCTCTTCTTCCTGACCTATAAATGTATACTCGACATCTCCTCTTGGACTTCTAGCAGGCAACTTCAATTTAACATGAACAGACCGAACTCTCCCCACCAGCAGTCACACTGTCATTTGGAGCCTAACACAGGTATCATCCTTGCTCCTCCTTCCTTCACTATGCACACCAGCAGTCCTGCTAGCTTTACCAGAATCCAGCTGCTTCTCATCACTTCAACACCAGCTACCATTCTACTCCAAGCCACCATTATCTCTCACCTAGATTACTGCAATAGCCTCCTAACGGGTCTCCCTGCTTTTCCTTTTGCCCCCTTAAAAGTCAATTCTCTACAGAGCAGCCAAGATGATCTTTTAAAACATAAATCACACTTTAAAACAATACAAGAAGAGAGAAAGGGAATAGGTGTGTATGTAGGGCAAGACTGGTCATCCATGGGATGGATGGTCTGAGCTTGGGCTCCACAGTTTTGCTAGAGCTGGATGGAGAGCACAGGGGAGTTCATTAGTGTTCTATTTGTAAATTTGATATATTAAAGTTAAATAAACATAATTTAGATCACACCACTCCTCTGCTCAAAATCCTCCGATGTCTTTTCACCATACTCAGGTTAAAATCCAAACTCCTTACCATGGACCACAGGCTCCCACATCATCTGGCCACTGTCACTTTTTCTCCCTCATCTTCTACCTTCCCTCCAGTACCTCACCTGCACAGGCCTGCCTGCCATTCCTCAAATATGTCAAACTTGTTCTCACTTGAGGGCCTGTGCACTTTTACCCTATGCCTAGAAGGTTCTTTCCACAGGTCTTCACAAGACTGGCTCCTTCACTTCATTGGGTGACGTTCAAATGTCATGAAAGCATTTCCCGACCACCTATTATAGCTCCTCCTCACTCTGTTCCAGCACACGGTCTCTTTTTACCCTGCTTTACTTTCATCTTTCCTCCTAGTACAATCATGTGCCACAAAACGACGTATCAGTCAACAATGGACCGCATATATACATACATGACAGTGGTCCCATAAGATTAGTACCACATAGCCTAGGTGTGTAATAGGCTCTACCATCTAGGTTTGTGTAAGTACACTCTATGATGTTCGCACAATGACGAAATCACCTAACGACGCACTTCTCAGAAGGTATCCCCATCGTTAAGCGATGTATGACTGTACTGACATTATATATTTGTTTACCATCTATCAATCCCACCAAGAGGTAAGTACTATTAGGGCAAGCACCACGTCAGTCATGCTTTTCATCTGGCACATTGTACAGCAGTGCTATTCAACAGACCTCTCTGCAATGATGGAATTGTTCTATATCTGTGTTGTCCAATACAGTAGCCACTAGCCACATGTAGCTACTGAGCACTTGAAATGTGGCTAGTGCGACCGAGGAACTGTATTTTAATTAATTTAAATAGCCACATTTATAGATGCTCAATAAATCTTTTGATGCATGACTGTTCCTCAAATTCTAATCCTCATGGGAAAAAGACAAGCGCAATGAGACATATAGACAAAAAGTAGCAAGTATTAAAATACAAAGCTAAGACACAAAATGTCTACAGTGTATAATTATACTGACCCTGAGGCTATAGGGCTATTAATACAGGACTCCAAAAACCAAAGTAAATTAAAAATTTAATGTTAAATTGTATTTAATTTTTTTGTGTGTGTGTGAGGAAGACTGGCCCTGGGCTAACGTCCGTGCCCATCTTCCTCTACTTTATATGGGATGCCCCCACTGCATGGCTTAACAAGTGGTGCGTCGGTGCGTGCCCGGGATCCGAACCAGCAAACCCTGGGCCACTGCAGCGGAGTGCGCACACTTAACTGCTTGCGCCACTGGGCCGGCCCCAAATTGTATTTAATTTTTAAAACTAGCTATCTATTAAGGATATACACAGTATTATCAGAAATAAGCAACCTCAGTAAGGATCTGATTACTTAACCACTGCAAGTAAGATTCAACGTACCTTAAGATTTCTTTTCAAAGCAAAGATCAAAGATTTCAAATTTCTAAAAAGTTTTTAAAAAAATACTACTTGGATAAAAATGAAATTTCTCAACTGTGCAGCAAAATACTAACAAACTAAGTGCATTTAGCAAAACCTAAAAGTAAGCAGTGATCCTAAGATTGTGCCTAACCTGGATGCCAATTTATCAACAGAAAACCTTCACATTTTATGAGAGAAAAGAGCTACACTTCAGCCTGTGGTGCGTGATATGAGTTTAAGGCCAAGGAATGCCATTTCATTCCTCCAAAAGTTTCAGCTGTTGCAGGTTACTCAATACCTTAACTACTAAGCTATAAATGAAGGTGAATGAGGGGAACTAACAGTGGGAATGGTAACAAAAAATAAACTAAAATGCATTTTAATGTCACCTTGTACAGGTAACATACACATTTATACTTTGTCTCTGAGATAATAGATCTTACATTATCCAGTTATTACAGTTCAACACAACAAATCTGCCAAAGTAAATTAGAGAATTCTACCAGAGGGTGCTTTTAAATACTATTCCTATTTGAATTAAACCCTTCTCAGTTTATTTCAATTTTATACAGTATCCCAATTTAGCATTCCATATAACCATTAACAGTCTATGCAAAATACAGTCTTCTGAACTTAATATCCTATGTAAATGAACTGCTAATAAATATAGTCATGTTATAACAGCACAGAATAGTTCTAAAGTATACCACCTTATTCATAAAATTAAGGTAGTACTTAGATTCTTTGTCAGTGTTATCTGAATGACAGTAGATAATCCAAAACTAGCATAATTAATACATTTGCATTTGACCCTACCAGTCTATCTAATTACAAATACCATTACTAAAACAACAACAAAAATTAATCAGCGCCCATATGTAACCTAACACCAAAATGCTTGGAATTTTTATTTCTCAGCTTTCTAAAAATGAAGGAAAGACTAGTACTCAAGGTCCATGTTGAATATTATTACTTTGACTTTCGGTCTTAGCCCTTCACATGAAAACAGATCCATTCAAGACTGCAAATAATATATACTTATCTAAGCTGTATGCATTATTACTGTCACTAGTCTAAAATCATACATTATACCCCTAACCATGATCAATTTCTTGCCAATGTATGCAATGAATCACAAGACATGCTCAAAATTGTAATCAATAAAATGCTATCTTATTTGAAAAAGCGATTCATAAACCATCCCTAAGACATGATGAGTAATGGGTTAATAGTGAAAGAGCAAGCTCTTAAAAGAAACACACACCTCAGTATAATTCCATAATGCTTTTCAAGATTATCAAATACTATTTTTAATTTATCCCTAGTCTTATTTATCTGGCATACTAACTCATTCTAAACTTCAGCTTGAAATAAAAAGAACTAAATAAAACCAAAACACTGCCTTGTCAGTTTTGTACTTACTTAAGCAACTTCAAGGATTCATACCTCCCTAGTCAAAAGTCCTTGCAAGAATTTTTCTATAAACCAGATGCTTCAAGCTTTCAAGTACTGTTCCTGCAGCCCTTTTTAAGTGTGCTACCACATTAACTTAGCACCAATTAATCCTAGAGCTTGTTCTTCCCTACTTGCACCATGCGCTATATATCATATTCCCTCTAACACTTAAAAAAAAAAAAAGCTGCCAAAACTCCATTCTCCCCAAATAGTAGGTAAATTTATTCATCAAGAAACATGCCTTTACTATCAGCTTTCTAGCAAGAAACTGCTATATTACTTGGAATTCATTTAAGTTAACTTCACTCACACTGTACCTACAATTACAGCTTACCTACAGTAAACGTAACTTTTAGCAATGTTTTCTGACCTTATATCCCTTATCAAAACAAGAAGTGTACATTAAGCAAGTTTGTGTATAGCTTCCTCTCTAAAACACAGTAGTTTCAAAACAACTCGGGGCTGGTTATGAGATCTTCTGTTTGGTCCATTTCTGCTAAACTTGGTGACGTGGCACAAACTGGAAGGGAATACTTAATAAGCAACTTTTTTAATCCTATAAGAGGCCTCCAGAAACTAGAATGTTCCTACATAATAAATCTGCCATAAACAATGCATTGTAACACTACTATGAATTATATCTAAGCAAAACAAATGAAATCAAGCACCTTAAGCTATGCTTTTCACTTAAAAAATAAAAAATATTCAGATAATAATCTCACAAAACTATTTAATTTGTTTTGGGCAAAAGAAAGAAACAAGTTTACAGTTAAACCCCAGGAATTTTTTGAAAATACATAACCAATTAGTAGCTGATTTCTAATCTGCCCACTTACTGAGAAATAAAAAAACCCATTAGTTCTCACCAATTTATGGGTTTCATCATGTTGTTTAGAGAGTTTCCACAGAAGGGAAATAATATTAAGAACTTGCTGCATAACCTGCAGAGGTTCTCGTTCTATACCATTTCCAACAGAAGAAGCTAGTTGTGGAGGCATAGCTTCAATCCAGCACTCAATTAGCAACGGAATTATTATCTCAATAAATCCTTTCAAGTTTTCAGTAGATGACAGGCCTTCATCCACACTGCCTAGTCCTCCAACCAGGTACCTAATAAGGAAGGGTAAGAAGGAAAAAATATTTAATAATTAAAAAATATTATTCCTTGCTTAATTTAAATCTTAAATATAAAGTACCAATAAAATGAAGCACCATGAATTGATAATTACACTGATCAAGACAGGCAAGTAAAATAAAATTCTAAGATGACAAAGCCAAGAGACTACTTAAAGTTTTACTTCTCATTAGGCTTTGCTAGAAATGAATAAATTAATATACTTTCAAAAGACTCCTCCCATCAGTAAACAAAATCAAATCATGAATAACTATACGAAAACTATGAAAGACAACAGCATGTCTTCCCATCATTAGCCATCAATGGTCAGCAGTTATAATTCAATACAGGAAAACTGAGTGTGGACATAACTGAAATCCTTCTTACCGTAGCCTGAACTGTGAACTGACATTTGGCTGTGAACCCCCATTTTCATAAACCTGGATGTGTTGCTGGTCGTTGGCATGTTCCTTCCAGTTGATAAAAATGGAGTTGCTAGTGGCATGGGGATTTTCTTTTTGTTCCTGAAGTCCTTCACTTTCTCTCAACCTACTGGATCCATCTGCCAAGGCCTGAAGGAATTTACTGAGTCTCACTAAGACTTTCAGCCTCCACTGCTGAGAAGTGAGTCTCCGATTAGGATTTACAGAAAGTATCCAGGACTGGGATCTGTCTCTATTTACCAGTCCTTTGGACAGCTGCTGATGAGAAATAAGTTCTACAAAATTCTTAAGCAATATACTGCTACGGCCAGTAATTAGAGCTGGGTAGTGTTCCAGCAGAATGTCCAAAACTTTTAAGGAGTCCTCCTGAATTCCTTCAGTAATGTGAGTCATGGCACTAGAGAGATGGGCACTTACCAAAGGAAAAAATGGAGAAATTTGTTCAGCTCGTATTTTGGGGGCCAGGAATTGAAGAAGTTGAACTGCTGCTAATCGTACATTAGCATCTTTATCTGTAAACACAGCAGTCACTTCACTTAATATGTTTGAAAGGTGTGCATCAATTATAAATGGGTATTGAGACAAAAGGTCTTTAAGTCCAAGAAGAGCACTTTGTTTAACCCCAGCATTGTAGTGATGCATCTGTGACAGCAAATCCTAGAGACAAAAATAAAGATACAGGTTTTAGGTATATACCTATATATACACATGATATTCTCCAATCAACATGCTAACTAAAACTATGTTAATAAATGGACACTTCTTGGGGAAACTGCTTCAACAAGTATATTCTAAATGTTACTTAGGTTTTATTAAGATCAGAAACATAGTTTTAGCTTAATAAAAACATTACATAATTTTCAGTTAGAATTTTCTCTTTTTGAAATTAACCTGCATGCAAGCTTAGGCATGCTATCATTTAAAGTGACAGCAATCACCACCACTATTTAAAGACCTGCTATGTACCAAACATATGGTAGGTGCATTTACATACTTTTAATTTAACAGGTCCTTTCAGCCTATTTTAAATGGTCTTTCAGGGTGTGTGTGTATATTTTATTCACAGTATAACATCTGACAATTATATTTATGGAATAATTTACATAATCTGTGAAAAAACCATAACTTCAAATACTTTTTTGATATTATTTAACCTTTGGAGCTTAAAAAGCAAAACTAGAAAACACATATTCTCACAGAGACTTGTCCACAAATGTTCATAACAGCACTATTCATAGAAGTCAAAAAGTGGGAACAACCCGATGTCCACCAACTGACGAGTGATAAAATATGACATAAGCATGTACTGGAATACTATTCGACAGTACCAAGGAATGAAGTACTGTTCTGACACATGCTATGACATGGATGAACCTCAAAAACATGCTAAGTGCAAGACCAGTAACAAAAGACCACGTATCGTATGATTCCATTTATATGAAATGTCCAGAATACACAAATCTATACAGATAGAAAGTAGATTAGTGGCTGCCTAGGGCTGGGAGGAAGAAATGGTGAGTCATTTCTCATAGTTATAGGGTTTCCTTCTGAAGTGATAAAAATGTTCTAAAATTAGATTATGATGATAGCAGCGTAACTGTAAATATATTAAAACGCACTGAATTGTACACTTTAAATAGGTGAATTTTATTATGTGTAAACTACATTTCAATAAAGCTGTTAAATTTCTAAACAAAACTATTGTTCAAACTTCAATGAACTTCACACATTTACTATGAACCTGTAATAAGCTATGTGCTATAAGGGTTCAAAAATGAGCAAAACAAGAGCTTATCTTAATGAGCTATAAAACTATGAGTGGAAAACTATCACATCAAAAACGTGACATATCAGGGGACTGCCCCATAGCGTAACGGTTAAGTGCACGAGCTCCGCTACTGGCAGCCTGGGTTCGGATCCCGGGTGCGCACTGACGCACCGCTTGTCAGGCCATGCTGTGGCGGTGTCCCACATAAAGTGGAAGATCGGTACGGATGTTAGCTCAGAGCCAGTCTTTCTTAGCAAAAAGAGGAGTATTGGCATGGATGTTAGCTCAGGGCTGATCTTCCTAACAAAAAAAACAAAAAAAAAACTCTGACACATCAAAAAGTTAAACAAAAGAATTATTTCCAGATAATATATTAAATCATCAAATAAGTACAGAGGGGAGAAATCACTGTGGGTTTAGTAGAGCCAATCTTTCTGGAGGAGGCGGGAAAGCTGCAGTGGCAACGTCAGACATGGATAACAAATGAACTCTACACTTCAGCCATTAATTAACCCTAAGAGTTAAAACAACTTTTCACAAAAGCATAGCATCCTAGATGATTTCAAAAAAATCTTATTTTATCAAAACAATACTTATTATTTACCTTTATGTTAAGTTTTCTATTGTTTGTTGGAAGTGTTCCATCCTCTTTGAGCTGCTCAGGCAGATGTATAGTCTTCGTTTTAAAGTTTGTAACAGTAGCATTTTCTAACTTGGGCTTCTTTTTACCAACTTTTAGTTTTACTTTTTGAAAATCATCTTGGCGTTTTCTCTTTTTGGTCATTCTTGAGTGCTATAATGAAAACAATTTAAAAACGACAGATAAAGATAAAGATAAATTATAAAAGAATAAAGAAGGTATTTTCCAACATTTACATTACTCTAACATTTATTTCAAAGATAATCAAGAATCAAGGCCAACAGCGACTATGCCAAAGGATCAAAATATTAAAAGGAAAATACCTTTACAAAGTACAAAAAAAAATCAGTTTAGTCAAGAGATACTGTAAAGCAGAGTTGTTAACAATAAGTCTTATCATTGGTCTGTCAAGGTTTTTAAGCCATGGAACCTTGTCAAGCAATGTGCTAAATGGAAACCTCTTGAAATTCTTTTCCTGTGTGTGTTTCTGTCTCTCTGTCTGTCTGGGGGGCCGGGGGTGGGGGCGGTGAGAAGGAAGGCAGCACAGTTGCTAGAGATATACTTTGTATCTGCTGGGAAGGTCCTGGCCACTAGAAGCTCTGAGGAACCTCTAGCATAACAAAGCCAAGTCTGAAAACCAATGTTATTATTTAATGCAGCCTGTAATAGTTAGGAAAGGTTTCATGAACCTAAGCTGGGTGCTTGAAAGTTAGGTAAGATCTAGATATGCAGCAAGGAGAGTTAATGAGCATTTCATGAGCAAGGAAAACAGTAGAGATCAGGAGCAGGCAATAAGCCTGGAATAGGCAAAAACGAAGATATCAGCATCTTGAACATCAGGAAAAGTTCAGACTAGACATAAACAGGAAATAGTATCCAAAAAACAGGATAAAAAGGAATATAAAAGGAAATATAGTGTGACAGAGGGATAAGGCACAAAAACTAGCTAGGCCACTATTATAATAAATAACTCAGGCATAATCATGTCATCTTGCATTTCCCCCTCTTCACATTCTTGCAACTTACATCCAAATCTTCCCACTTACACACAAAATCTTTGATCTGTTCCTCCTACCCATTCCCAGGCCACTTCTGAAATCCTTTATTTCTACCCTAGGCTGTTCAATTGTTTCCGCACTGGTATTCTTGCCTTGTCTCTACTGTCTACTCCACAGCCCATTTGCTAGAGAGTCAGCAGAGAGCTCTTTCTAAACACAGGTCTGAACAAGGCTCAGGAGCTTTCAGCTGCCCCTTTCCTCCCTTACAGTAAAATCTCCTTAGGTTGACATATCAGGTCCTTCCTAACTTCCTCTCCGGCTTTATCTTCCCACAAGCTAACTTCTATCTAAAAACTAGCCTCCTATACCTGGAACCAGCTCAGCTCTTCTTGAAGCCTTTTCCACATGCTGCAAAAATAATGAATTCTGCCTTCCACTGTACACCCACTGGAGTAGATAAGTACCTCCAGAATAAATAAAACTTCTCCTGGTCTATCATAATTATCCTATGCCCAGTTATTTAAAAAAAAATTCACAATGCCTACATATAGAAGTTCAAAAATTTGAGTAAAATGAAGGTTTGCTTTATTGTGAGATTAATAAAATGGATGCTGTAAGACCAGACAGCTCAAGTTCCAGGAATCCAGAAGCCAATCACCTAAGACATTATATCCAAATTCACCACTGCAAGATATTACTACTTTAGAGCCCCATCAGCTAGGATTTGGCTACATGGCTTAAGAACAGATTCTAGATCCAGACTGATTAGGTTCTTATCCAGACTCGGCCACTTTCTAGCTGTAGTTAACCACTGTGCCTCAGTTTTTATCTATAAAACAGGATAATAATACTCCATACAGTTGTTATGAAGTAAGATAAATGAGGAGCAAATGAGTTCATATTCGTAAAACACTCACAACTTGCCTAGCACAGTTAAACATACATGCTATAAGCACAAACAAGTACATCTTCCTAAAGTCTCAGAACCAGTACGGACCAAGCACTATATTAAATGCATTATGTCCATTAGCATTCAATTCTCACAAAACCATGTGAGGAAGGTGGTACTAAACCCATTTTAAAGATGTGGCTCGTGGGCCCGCCCCGTGGCTTAGCGGTTAAGCGCACGCACTCCGCTACTGGCAGGCTGGGTTCGGATCCCGGGCGCGCACTGACACACCGCTTCTCTGGCCATGCTGAGGCCACGTCCCACGTACAGCACCTAGAAGGATGTGCAGCTATGACATACAACTATCTACTGGGGCTTTGGGGGAAAAAAAAAGAGGAGGAGGATTGGCAATAGATGTTAGCTCAGCGCCGGTCTCCCTTAACAAAAAGAGGAGGATCAGCACGGCTGTTAGCTCAGGGCTGATCTTCCTCACAAAAAAAATAAATAAATTGTTAAAAAAGATGTGGCTCAGACAGGTTTGTCAGTCCTTTATCAAGGAGTTGAAGAGCAATTCATACACAAGACTGAGCTCTGCATGCTGGAATTAAGGTGAGGATTGGAAAACTGAGTCGCAAAACAGCTTGCTTTATTATCCCAATTCCAAATTTTCATCTCACACCTCTAGTTATTCTAGTCTAAAAAAATGGTTAAAACCTAAAAAGAACTCACCTGGCCTCTTTTAATACAAAAATTGTTTTCATCACTTAAGCAAGCACACTTTGTGAGCTTTTCCTATAATTTTACTACTAGCTGGTACCAGAGATGAAACTAAATAGTACAAGACGTTCAGAAAAATCGAATGAATTAACCCTCCACTCCCAATCCTCTGTGCTACCTGTAGCCACTAACTTGTCCAGCATACAGTCCACCGACAAGCTTACACCATACTATCCATCACTTTGTAACGTTTTCCTTCCGTTGGGAAAATTAAGAGGGCTGATGGCCCTTCTTTGACTTTTAAAGCTGGTAAAATTATTTAATGATACACAGAGAACATTTTTATACTAGGAACTCCACGTTCTATTAGCAATTCCTAAAAATCTAAAATAAAGGTTTTCACAGCGCAGCAAATCAAACAGTCCGACTAAGCCACTTTTACAGTAGCCAGAACTGAAGAGGAGGTAGGAACTCCAGCCTACGGGGCTGAACGCTCACAGCCCTGGACTTCCTACATAGGCGAGCCCCAAAAGTTTTAAAACTGAATTTCATACATTCCAACTGCAGGTCTTCTAATTTCAACCAAAGGGAGATCCTAGCCTATCAGGATTTCGAGTGAACCGAATTCAAGATAGTCTGCCACCTCATTACCCTAATTTCCAAGCTCTTTGCCCCAGAAAAGTCAAGGAGAAAGCACACTGCACTCAGCCTTTGATAATTTCCTCTCCAGTCCCTTAGGCTGAGTTCCTCCAAACACAGTCCTGAAGGGGCCAGTCGGAGACACCAGCCTCCCCAGAAAGCAAATGCCGCGGGTAGGGGCGACTCGCGGGAGCGGACGGGCCCGTTCCGCCCCGGACAGAGCGCTGAGCTCTCACACCTGGACGGCGAGAGGGCCGACTCGGATGCGGCTGCCCCCACCCCCGGGCCTCGGTCCTGCCCGACCCCGTGCGTTTTACGAAACCATCGCTTCTCTGCTCCCGCCGACGGCGGTCAGGACCACAGCCGGGACGTGGGCCCGCTCTACGCACACTGGCCTGGACCCCTCAGCCCCGAAACCGCGCGAACGCGCCCAGTCACTTGAGGCGCTCGGACGCCCGCGGGCGCCCCGCCCCGCTCCGC